ATAATATATAATGAATATAAGAGCATATTACTTACTTGCTGCAAACATTTACAACGCCCAACTCAAGTTAAACGGGCTAGTCCTAACGGGCTTCGGTTTAAACGGTCCGGACCTAAAAAACCCTGATTTAAATGGGCTACCAATAAAAAGCCCTAACCCTGTTTTTTTCCGGGCTAAACGGGCCGGCCCGTCTGGCCAAAGATCGTTTAACATCTATAGTGGCCATAATAATTTGGTGACAATCAATTGACTTTTTTTTTTTTTTTTAAAAAAAGGGAGGGTCAAAAGACTGATATGTTTCAGGTTTAGGGGTTTTCATGCAGCCTCACTCAATTTGAGGCCGCACTCAATTTTTTAAAAATTTCGTCAGAAAAGACTCCATCTTTCTAATTGGATCCTTCGATTCGTGTGCCGATCTAGTGTGATGTTTGAAGTAGACATACTCCACCTGATCGACTCCTGTACTAGATGCTAAATAGAAAATGGATCAGCACATGAAATGATGGCCCAACGTCTTTGAGAGCATTTTGTCATTCATTATTGAGCTCAAACTTTTGATTTTTCTTGATCGCCTCAGAGAATGGTTGTCATCGATCTATCAGTCTAACGGAAGCGCTTTAAAGTGGATAGTCTGGCAGTTAAAATTTGAGTTCATTTAATGGAAGTTAGGAGTTTCAGGTTGAGAATTGTGTTGACATTCTCGAGATTAACCTCGATTCCTCTCTGACTCACAAGATATCCCAAATATTTCATCGAGACAACCTCAAAGGTGTATTTTTTAGGCTTTAGCATCATTGAGTAACCGCGTAAAATGAAAAAAATATTTTATTCTATTAAGAAACATGGTCTTGAGCGCATAGAAATTTTACAAACGTATCGTCAACACACACTTCTATAGTTTTCCATATATATGAGATTGGCACCATCCTATTCACCAATCGCTAGTAGGTGACCCCAATATTTTTTAGTCCGAAAGATACCATCTTATAACAATACATACTTCTACACGTGAATTTGGTTGTAGCAAGAATGAGCATCCATAAAGCTCATGAGTTTGTGCAATTTACGTTGAATTTATTTTGTGTTCTCACACACAATTCATTTTCTATGCAAATTGTCCGATGTCCTTAAGTTAGCTAGGGTTTTCTCGTTCCTGTAAATCAGGATTTCTTGCTAATTTCTCTCTTCAATCCTTCTTTCCTTCTTGTCTTCTGCTCTATTTTCTTTGCTCTTTCTGTTCGCATGCTTAATAGGGTGCGGCTTTGTAGGTTTAGCTGGATCGTTGGATTTGGTTCGCTCGGCAGCAGATCGCGCTCTCGGTCCTGAAGTGGGGGGGGGGGTTCAAATCATCTCAGTATTTATGGATCAATATATCCTCGATAAAATGAAGAGGTTTGAGCTCTCAGACAAGGAAAGGTCGGGTGTGTCGCGACATCAGAAATTGAACTGGGCGTGCAAGAATGCTCGTTGAGCTTACTGGGGAAGATTGTAGGGGAGAAGAAGGCGAGTGTTGGGGGAATACGCAACACAATGGGGCTAGTTTGGAGAACGACAAAGCCCTTCTCAATTCGAGCTTTAGACAACAATCTGTTCCAATTTTTATTCCAATCAGAGGACGATAAGGCCAATACTAAAGGGGAAAGCCTGAACATTCGATGGGCAGTACCTGATATTGAAAGAATGGAAGAAAGATGATATCCAGTTTCTGGAGAAAGATATGAAGATTGAGCTCGGTTCAGATACATAACCTGCCCCTG